ACATCACTTCAACTTACATTACATAAGTGGAAGCTGGTCTGTGGCTCAAACTCAATGCAAAGGAGCTAAGCAAAACAAAACAAAACCAAAAAAACATGGTTCTACTGTGCCTAAGCAGCAAAGAAAAAGGTTTATCGAGCACCTGGTCTCTGTTGCAGTAAATACCGTTAACTCTGGCGTCTACTTAGTTTCACATTGGTTATTTTTCAACTTTGGCACAATATGCAGTGCAGACATGGCTATGCTGAGATGACTGATATTCACAAAAGTCAGAGAAATCATCTTTTCCTAGATTGGCACATGTTTGGCAGATTTGCTGTCACTCCCTATTTCCTGACCACAGTAGACACGGCTAATTAATCATGATATTTCTTCTCCATTGTTCCAGTCACAGTGGCAGAACCCTTCTTAGTATAGAACTACAGACATTCAGTGAAAGAGTTTTGGCCCAGATCTCCATCTCCCCCACCCTAGGAATTTACCTCTGGCACCAAACGAGTGCCAATGAGCTACCTGTGCATCACTAATGCCTCTTAGGTTCCACCCCAAACCTAGGCTACTTATATGCCTCCACTCCACGTATTCCACGGAGAGATCGCTGACCCCAGGGGCAGATGCCAGGGGATCGGGGGTGTCTCTCCCCGAATTCTCAAAATAAAGGTCATTTATGTTTCATACTTATCTTTTCAGCCGCCGCCAGTCCCCCACAGTTCTATCATTCAGGACACACTGATTAGAGATGGCACACCAAACAAAACAATCTCTTTTATTTTGCACAAGACAAAACTGAAACCTAAGAAGTATAGAATAACTTCATTCATTCACTGAGAAAAAGTACATTGTGTTCCTGCTATATTCTAGATGTTATGCTGAACTCAGTCAAGTTACTTCAAGTCAGATTCAGGCCTGCATTCAGGAACTTAAAGAACTGTGGGAAGTCAGTTGAGTGGACACTTAATTGCGACAGAGTGTAGCAAATTCTAAGAAAAGGGCAGAACATTCTGAGAAATGTAACTGTGCTCAAGCAGAAAAATGTAGCTGGATATGATATCTCATGCTAGTAATCGCAGCAATCTGAGGCTGAGATAAGAGGATCACAAGTGTAACCCCAATCTGAATAACACAGAAACTTAGCAAAATCCATTTCCCAATAAAAGGGGTGGGGGCTTGGGATGTAGCTCAATATGTAGGCCCTGGGTAAAATCTCAAGTACCATAAAAGAAGGAAAGGAAGGAAGAGAGGGAAGGAGAGAAAAATGGAAGGAAAGAGGGAAGGAAGAAGAAAAGAAAAAAATTTATTTTGATACTAAAAATGAATTTAAAACACTGTCCTCAAAAGTCCATTGTAAACAGTGTAGTAGTACATATCTGTAATTGTGGCATTCTGGTGGGCTGAGACAAGAGTAATTTAGCAAGACTCTGCCTCAAAATAGAAAATAGAAGGGATTCTAGGGAGGGAACTCAGTGTGAAGGCCTGAGTTCAATCCCTAGTACTGCCAAAAAAATCCCAAACTATAATGAGGACTTCCTGTAGAGAAGAAAGATTGGGCATAACTCCAAATATAATGAAAAATGAAGATTTATAAACAAGAAGCAAGACAGATGTGACAGTAGCTAGGAAATTACAGTCCTAACAGTGTAGAGTAATACTTGCCAAATGCCCTAGATTCTTGCTAAAGGAAGACCAAGGTAACAGATATCAAAGGTAAGAAGTTCCTCATAATCCAAGTTTTTAGGATTCTTGCTAAATCTAGGTGATGCAGATCTGACAAAGAAGGAATGGTATAGAGGAGCCTGAACAGAGTTAGGTCAAGGAGAGGAGAGTTGCTATCAGTAGTGACAACTAACCCAATCATACAAGAGTTAGACAAAACTCAAACTCTAACATGGGGAAAGAACCATACATCTACAGTTAATCTTAAAACAATGATAGACTTTATTCAAGCAAAGGATGAAACCTGGAGAGCATCTCAGAACTTGGATGCAGTGATGATTGTCTATAATCCCAATTATTTGGGAGGTTGAAGTAGGAGGATCACAAGGACGTATGCCTGGGCAACTTAGTGAGACTCTATTTCAAAATAAAAAATTTAAAAGGCTGAGGATACAGTTCACTTGTACAGCATGAAGTCCTGGTTTTGATCCCTAGTACCACAAAAAATGAAAATAAAAACGCATCCCAGGCAGAAGAACCAATTTGTATAACAGCCAAAATATATAAACAAGAATGGTATGTACAGAAAACAGAAATGGTAGCCTTAGAAGAGTTCACAGTGTAAAGAGATGGAATTTACAGTGTATCATAGCTACTGCTATGTAACAACCTGTCTCCAAACTCCAAACCTTAAACTAACAACAGCATTTTTATTGTGCATGAGTTAAGGGGTCAGATGGGTAATTCTCCTCTCAGACGCATTTATGTACTGGCAGTCAGCAGTGTGGACTGTCAGCTCTGTTGTACATGTTTAGCTAGCTACACATGAGTCTAGGGCAGCCTTGGCTGTGACATCTGTCCCCTCTTCCAAATTTGCTCCCATGCTCCAGCAAGCTAGCCTGACCCTGCCACACATGGCAGGGTACCAAAAATGAGCCATCAGTACTCCAGGCTTCTTGAGGCCTAGGCTCAGAATTGACACAATGCCACTTATAGTGTATTTAATGAGCCAAAGAAAGTCACAAAGCCAGCCTAGAGTCAAAAGGTAGAAAGATAGGTTTAACACCTTGACACATGAATATTACAAAGCTTATGACTAGGGGGAAAAAAAGCTCTACCCCTTTCTCTGTCTCTCATCAGACTAATCTCTTCCAGAGACTCAGAGCAATAGCAAGAACAACACTTGGACAGATGGGTAGGTTCAAATCATGAAAAACTTTGCCCAACTCAGGACGCTAGAGAGCCACAGAAGCAACATGGACTCTACAAAGATGTTGCTTTAACATGAATGATAGTTGACAAAGACCTGGACACTGGCAGAAGAGAGGTAGTGCAGTGATTACATTTAAGAGGTAATTACCAGACAGATATGATGATCATAGGATAAAGAGAGGGAACCACCTCAGAATCACTGGTGATTGGCTGAGCGAGATTAAACACAATCTTCTATATCCCAGTCTTATATCATTGCTACTGCTCTCCTGGTTACAGTATTTTAAATTTAGGAATTTTTTTTCCACCTATATTTTTTTGGCTTTTTCTGGGCCCATTACCAGGAAACAAAAAGGCCAAGGCCATTCTAGGAAATAAACCTTATCAAGACATAATGCCTAGTTTATCACACTCACAGTCAAAGACTGAACACTTTAAAAGATAAGGAAATAACAATAGATACCAGTAAGTAGCACATTTACCTCGTGTGGTCTGGAAAATCATTAACCATGTTAGATAAATAAATCATGGCCTGCCTGGCCCAGAGCTTGCTTCTCAGTGGTGGTTTATGTGAGACACACCTCAGGTGCAAATCAACATGGGCCACTTGGAGGACTCACCCTTTTGACTTTCAGTGGGAAACACATTTATAAATAAATCGAACCCAGGGCCTTTACACTTAGCTACACACCATGCCTTGTTTTTTATTTTGATACAAGGTCTCACTAAATTTCCCACGCTGGGCTAGAACTTGTGATCCTCTTGCCTCAGTCTCTAGAGTCCTGGAATTACGGGCGTACTCATATTTGAAACCTGTGTGTTCTTTCACCCAGAACATTTCAAAACTTTGTCACACACTTCCAGCCTCAGTTCAATTTCAGCCGTTCTAGTAAATGACTCTGTGTCTCTGAAGAACTGAGCTCCTCACAGTCAATGCTATGTATGTAGAATAAATATTATCTATATTCTGATATTTGCAACCACACCCTCCCAACCTGGTTAAGCCTACCTTATTGATTTTGTAAATCATAGTAACCAATGGAAACTACTTCCACTTATAGTGGAATTTTAAAACCTCTACCTTGGTCATACACTGCATGGCAATGCAAAGTGACTCAAAACATTCATTTAGCATTTCTCCTTTGAGCCGGGCCTTATTTCTCTTTTATTCAGGTCTACTATGGTAGCTGATCTGAAAAGATGGAGTCTTGCTAGCCCTCATGTGTACACAGATGGAATCCATTTCCCCACCCCTCAGAGCAGGGCTGAGCTCATCACATGCTTAAGACAACAGAATAGGTAACAATGGGCAATTCAATAAGACTTGCATTTCTGGCATGACTCTTCTGGAAACGTGAATTAATGACAAACAGTTGGGTATCAATGACAATTGGTCTAAATTTGTCTGCTGGAAGATTGAGTGTATGTGTACCTAGTCCCTAGCAAACAGTAGGTGTTATATTAGATGTTTTCTGCCTCATTTTTTGTGGCAAACAATTTATATCTGGAGAAGGCTGGAATTAAAATATTCGGTGCATTTTTTTAAGAGTAAAAGAATAGTTTCCCCCTTTCTTTGCTCAGAAATGAATTTAGAACCTGGGGTAATGATGGTCAGTTCAAGTGTGTCAAATATGATTACCTTCTGAAGGACAGCAGCAGGGTTCTTCAAAAACCCCTGCCTCTTACTGGGAGAAAGGGTTCACTTTGTAATGCATTCACAAGCAGGGAGAACAGAGAGTACTTTGAGTTCTGAATACTAAGTATAGTTCAAATATCCAACTCATCGGAAAGGAGAAAGGAAAATCACAGATTTTACAACAAAGTCACTTTTCAGGTTCTCAGAATCACTTGAAAAGACCTATTTTACTGTTTGCCTGCCAAACTTGAGCTCCTGTCCTAGGAGGCTAACTACATAGGTCTCCACGGGTCACCAGAGCCTCAGAGGCAGCGGGGAGGAGGGATTTGGTTGCAGCCAGAAAAACCAGTCACACGAGTGGAGGGCAGCACAGCAGGTGGCAACTTGTTTCCTCCTTGCAGCCCTTTGAGGTTTTATGAGGAATAAAAGGTGTGGTAAGTGAATAGGGGTGGTGGCAAGGGTGGCACGATATTCTTATGCCAAGACTCTCAGTGTCCCAGCAGTAGCAGCACTGGTAACAGTCCAAAATTTGAATAGCCATTAATAGAAAAATATAAAGTGCCTGGTAAAACATGACCACCACTAGGAATACAATCATGAGGTCGGCATCCACCCATGACTTTGAGGGGTGCCTGCCTCTCTTGGAGACTTGCCAGTGTACAGGGTCCCTTCAAGACTGAAAGAAAAGAAGGACATGAGGAGGTCAACGCCACCCACAAGCAGGTGTTTCTACTAGGGCAGGAGGGTGGGGCAGTTTCTCCTAGATCAGTTTGCTTCAACAGATGAATTGGGGTTTAAAAATACTCACAATATGACCAGTAGATGGAAGTCTGTGTGGGAGCTACTTTAATGAGGAGAAATTGTGACTCATTACTCGAGGTTTGAACAAGGTCATGTTTTCGGTTTTCTAAATCCACTTCTCGTCCTATAGGCACTAAGAAGCCAAGCAGCTACCACTTTTGTGGTTTCTGCTCTCAGAACGTAGTGTTGATGGAGCTGGAAAGTCAGAAGTGAGGGTTCTGTGCAGCAGCCCCTCGCCGTCCCTGTTAGGGCCTCTGTCCTTTGTACTCCGCATCGTGGTTGAGAGTGTCTCTCCCCCTCTGTTGGCACCAGCTGCTCTACATTCCCCATCCACTCTGTTCTAAGTCTTCCCAAGAGTACAGAATCCACACAACTACCCTGCAGCCAATGGTCTACGGTATTCGAAGTGCTTGGTACAAGAAGCAGACTAGATTTGGGCCACTGTACACAGAAGTCTACAATGCCTTTCCTTCCCCAGGCTTCAGAAACCTGGATGTAGCCTTCTCGTTTCATTTGGAAAAATAAGGCTGTTGTCACAGCACCCACAGAGCAGGAGAACCCCAAATTTAAGACTGCCTGCTTTTTCTCTGATACAAATGGAGAATTTTTCTGTTCATTTTTCTGACCCTACCACAACAAATAAAGCAAAATATAAGCTAAGAATAAACCATGGTGATTTGTTCCTCCTCTCACTTTTTAAATATTTTTTAAAAACATTTATTGCTAGGCACAGAAATGTAAGGTTACTCACATAACTTGCTAAATGCTTTCTTCATGCAAGGCAATGTAGACATTAAACTTCATGGAGTCTTGACCATGTTTGTTTTTCAACATAATTATAAAATACAGTTAAGTTTTTATGGTGATTCCTTCTAATAATTACCATTAGCCTATGATAATTAATATTAGCAGAGTAATTAATACCATTAGCACATGATGATATAGCCACTTATTGGGAGCTTATTTTTGTGGTAAATATAGAAATATTCTGCAATCAGTCTTTCCTACATTTTAGCACAGTATTGTGTTTGTGATTTTTTTTTCTTTTTTGGTTTGTTTTCATTTACTTGATACAGTGCCTCAGAATATAATCCCTGTGAGCTTGCTATGGAGCCAAGGCTGACCTCAAACCTGTGATCCTCCTTCATCAGTCTCTAAATGCTGGGATTATAGGTATGTGCCACAATGCTCAGCTGTATTTTCTGTTTATTTATCTGCCCTAATAGACTTGGAAATCCCTCAAAAAAGAAAAAGCAGATATATATGTATATATGTGGGTGACTATATGTATGCATGTAAACGTGTGTATTTTAATATCTAGTCGTTAACATCACTATTCCTTATTACACAATAAGTAGTTTTTAATTTGTTCTGCTGATTATAATAAGACTTTCCAATGCTTATCTGAAAGTACTGCCCACAGCATCAGGATAATAGGTTAAAAACTAACCATCATAGGCCGAGGATTTAGCTTAGCGGCATAAGTGCCTGCTTGGCAAACACGAGATTGTGAGTTTGATCCCTGGTACCAAAAAAACAAAAAACTGACCATCATTTAATTCAATCAGTACCTATCACAAAATTAATGAAAAAGGAAAGGACCTTAGAGAATATTTAGTTCTCTAAGTATTCAGTTCAAATCATATATTTAAAAGACAACAGGGTGGGGAGTAAATAAGAAACTAAGTTCAGGCCCATCGAAGCTACTTTCCAGCTTGGGTTTCCGTCTTAACCTCTCTGTGGTCTGGCTGATTCACCTGTCTAGCGAGGTTAATCACATCTGATCCACCACAAATGGTTGGTGTGAAGTAAGACTGAGACAATGTTTGCAGATACACTTTGCATACCGAAAACATGACATAATAAAAAGTTCTTTGTTTTGTTTTTGTGGTGCATAGAGCCTGGGACATAGTAAATATACAACAGTTGCCCTATTGTTAAGAACATAGATAATACAGAAAATTAGGATGACATACAGTATTTACTATGCACCAAACATTACTGTAAGCATTTTTTCAGACAGGGTCTTGCTCTGCCATTCAGGCTGGCCTTGAACTCACTATGTAGCCCTAGCTGGGCTAGGCAATCTCCCTGTCTCTGCCTTCCAAGTGCTGGGGTTGCAGATACTTGAATTGCTAATGCTTTCTTTGTCACCACATCTAGCTCTAAGCACTTTTTTCTATCTTATTATTCAAAACAATTCCTGAGGCAGGTACAATTTTTATCAGTCCTATTTTAGAGAATGCTCAGGATTTGTATAAATGCAGTCTAGCTGTAGAGTCTGTGAGACTAATCACTATACTACATTACAAATCACCCACAATTTAGAAATAACTATATTTACTAATAATTTAATATGTTCCTCCATATTGATAAATACGTATGTGAACTTGTCTCAAAAAATGTCTGTGCCTAGATCTCCAATCCCCCAAACAAGTGTACAGCAAATGCCCAAAGGAATGAGACAACTGACATGATCTTTAGGGCTCCAGGAAGACTAAAACCCTCACTCATAACTCTGCTGGCCAGCCAGCCAACTGACCCTGGGCAGCCCATATTTAATCTGAACAAGCAAGGAATTGAATGGAAAATGCAGGAAACCTGAGCAGGCTCTTAGGAGGAGTTCAAGGACCCCTCAGTGCAACAAATGATGCTAATTAAGGAAAACGATACAGAAAGTCTCCAGGTGGCCTCAGCTGTGGCCAATCTTGCCTCCTGAGCCGTCCCCACTTTCTCAGTTCAACATGCCTGGCCATGCCACAGCCCTGTACATGTATTCAGCTTTAACTGCTCCAAGAGTAGCTCGATCTGAAGGTCCTGGATCCAATACCCAGCATGGCAAATAAAATAATATATATAAAAATAAAGTATATATTGGCAATATTATTTATTTAACATTTTACTTACATGTAAATAGCTTATTTATTTATTTATGGCAATCCTAGGCATTTAATTCAGGACCTTCTCCCTGAGCTACATTCCCAGCACTATTAGTTTTATTTTTTTATTTTGAAACAGAGTCTCATTAAATTGCTCAGTTGCCTAGGCTGGGCTAGAACTGCAATCCTCCTGCCTCAGCCTCTCAGGATGTTGAAATTACAGGAGTGTACCACCCTGCCTGGTTTGCTTTTAGCATTAAAACAATTTTTTCAGATAAATGTTTATTTATAATTTTTTAAAAGAATATTGAGTTATATGCTGCCATAACCTATTTCAGTTAGTAATAAATTATAAGTAAATTAAAATATTATTACAATTCTAAACTAAATATTGTTACTAATTCTAAACTAAAACTAACGTCTAATTTACTCAATTCTCTTTTTTTGTATTATCAAATCATACCCAACATTTTGCATGGTAAATAACACCTTAATGAACATTTTTGAATTTAAAATATAATACTCCTCATTTTTAAATCTCTGTATCATTTAACATAGGCCCACACAGACTATTAAAAAGTAACTCTCTCCAAGCAATAGATATAGTTCACAAACTTTCTCACCTTAATACTTTATGACAGTGAAACCAAATTATACCCTGCTTCCTACCAGTAATGGTACCTATAATTACACAAGTCATTTAAAAAGACTTTGAGTGTAATTTTATTTGCTTTATATTAAGAAGACCACTAGCACTATATCATCAGTGATTCAGCAAAGGAATAATTAAGCAGCAATTACCACCATCAACTCAAAACTGTCAAACTTGACCGTGTAATAAAATTTGATAGCTAAAACAACTGATAACCCAGGAAAATTTGTAAGTAACATGAAATAGAGTGAAAATATGTACCACTCTGAAAAAAAATAAATTGAAATTTCTATACTAGGGACTGATTCCAGGCCTAAGATAAATCTTCACTCCATTTGTTTGTTTGTGTATCTCTGTTTTCAATTTGAGAAAGAGTCTTGCTAAGTTGTCCAGGCAGGACTTGAACTTGTAATCTTCCTGCCTCAGTGTCTAGGATTACAGGTGCCACCACATTCTGCTAGGTTCAAACATTTAGTAGAGAAAAATGAAAGCTCTCCTCAAATGCAAATTTATTCTAGAGACTAGACCAGGTCTAAAACATAGCAAAATGCTTGCTCAGTGAATAATAAGGCTCAGTGTACAGGTAAAAATGTGAGGCAAACTAGAGAAAAGAAGGGAAAAAAAGGCCCTTTTCCCTGACTTTTGTCAAAAAGACTACTCATTCCATTGTGGTAAATAACTTCAGTGTGACTCATATACTGAGGGAAACCAAAATATTCAAGCCAAATTGAAGTGACCTGTTATGTCTGCTAAGGAATAGGACCTCTGTGTTCACACTTATTTAGTGGGAAGGGGAGGTGTCACTCCTTTACAAATGGATGGCAGATCCATCCCTTCCTGGTCTGGGAGACTTTTGTGACTGAGGAGTAATGTCAGACTGTTTGGAAAGCCAAGATATGTGATCATGTTCCAACAGGGAAGAAGGCCCTGACTCGGTCTCTCTCCAAATCTCTGCTAAGATTTGAAACATGTCAAAAATCCCATTGATCATTTGTTGCTTCCATAATTCCAGTTTGGTTTTAAATGCACCCATTTTATCTACCAACTTGAACACAGTTGTCATTCTTCCTTGAAGTAACAGTGTGACTTTGTTGAGCAGCTAGCATATGTCACATGATTAAACAAATTTGACAAGCTAGGCTGTATCACTGAAATGTGCTGCCAGTGATGACTATTTTTCTTAAAGAAATCTCTGGGTGTGGCTTCACAAATCAAAAACTCTAACCAGGGTTAGGCTGGGGATACAGCTCAGCGGCACAGTGCCTACTAGCAAAAATGAGGTCATGAGTTCAATCCCCGGTACCAAAAACAGCTCTGGCCAGTGATCTACCTTTAGAAAGCAACTCGCTTCTCCTTATAGGAAAAAATGTGTGTTTTCTGGGTCTGTCTCCTTATAGAACTATGTAAACAGATATGAGGCTAAGACATGCAACTTCACTGGGCTTGGTAATTTTAATCCCATCCGGCAGAATGCTGTTAAATTCAGGAGATGTGTTTCTCAGTCAGTAATTCTCTATGCATGACACAGTGCACAGATGCACATTCAGAAGTGACCTTTCTGACCCAGCTAGTGAAACCAAAAACCCATCCCATCATGGCAGCCACTCTGACTAGGCATATGCTGACACAAAATGATTAAATTTTCCTGATATTTAATTATTCAAAGATTTAAATAGTTCTGCAGTTGTGATATCAGTAAACAACAAAAGTTCACATAACATATCCTTGTGCACATCCTCCTGAAAAATATAACATGTAGAAACAAGCATTGTGTTATTTTTGTCAATATAAGTAGACTCATCAATCTAGATTGTACACCATAAATCCTCTCTAACAAATGTGTCTCATAGCCTCTGCTATTTCATTAATTTTTCTAGTTATGGTACTAGCCAAAAAGAGGAATCATATAACATTTTGAATTGCAGTCTTCTAAACTTCACAACAAATATCCTTAGTAGCAGGAAGAATCAACTCCTCACCAATAGTAAAAATCTTATCTTTAGATGTACAGATAGCCACTAAGAATAATGCTCTTAGTACAGACACATTTGATCAAGTGGTGGCTATCAGTAATTGCTTCTGTCCTTCATGTTCACTTTTTTTTCTTTTAGAAAATTCCAAAGGTTTGTCTTTCCATGCAGGGATGCTTGGTCTCCATGTGGTAAAGCACTTTTCTCTTTTCTTTTTGTTAGTAAGAGTGTACATTTATTGAAGGCAAAAAAGAAGTACATTCTACAGACTCACAGCAGTCACAAGGATAAGGAAAAGAGGTCTTTTGTATCCAAAGCTCGTTGGATTGGCTTCTCCTTCATGCAAATAAGGGACAGTTGTCCTGTCAAAATCTTACAGGGCCTGGCACTAAATTTAAAATGCCCTATCAAAACCTTTGGCTTCTTACCAGATGTAAATGAAGACTTGAAAATAGCACTTTTCTGACTGGTCCCCTGTACAGGATCTGCAGAGTATCCTAGAGCCTGTGCTCTCACATGTCCTCTGGCTCTCCATGCCTTTGACTCATTCCATCCAACTGTTTAACTGGTTTGCCCCAATGCTAATGTTCTACCTCATTTCCCCCTGAGACAAATAGTCTCGCATAATTCTTTATGGCATGCTGAGAAGGTGAAAGTCTTTCTTCTCTTCCTGCTGAAAGGAATTACAGATCCCATCTACTGGGTATTATGTTCTCTCTGACTACGTTGGGATGTTGGGGCTTGATGATCAGGCTGGTAAGAACCCATGCCTATATGTCAGGAATTATAGAGCTGTCCATTCAATGGAAGAAAACTTAGTGAAATTCTCAGGAGGGGTCATTGCCTATAGTCTGGGTCTTCATCTGCATGTGGATGTTTGGAAGCCTTGACTAGATCAATTTTACTATTAGGTTGAGGAGGCAGTGGTCAAATATGAAAAAGAAGTAGGATGACCACAGATGGTCCCAAGAGATGAGGAACCCAGGGATTTTAGGAAGCTAAGATTTAAAGAATCAAAGCATCTTGAACAGGCCTTCCTGGTATGCCTTAAAAGGTGGACTATGACAGATTCAGCAATTAGAGATTATTTCTCAATGCTTTTATTTGGGAGAAGTTTACTAATGAGTTTTATTCTGAAGCTTCCTGGAAAGAGGAAGCATGGTGAAGGGTATTAAATAAACTACCAAGAGCCTGAGAACATAGTGCTAGCAAGATTACTCACATTATGGATCCTATTATAAACAGCAGTCACTGTTGTTGATGGGTGCCCTTTTAAGCTGTGGTGGATCAGGGGTCATCAATGATTCTACTTATCTGCACATGGAGCAGTACTAGAATCTGGCTCTTTGAAGAGAAGCTTTAGATCTTCCAGAGGTTCACAAGAAAACCCTTCTTTTGGGTGGTCCTTTGCCTCAGGCAGTTTAGGTGGGGCCAGCTTCATTCCATGACAGCCAGAGTCACCTGGAGTTCCTCACAGGAGATAGAGATTTCCTTCGACGGGGGCACTGCGATTTGCTCCATGCCCCGTTAGTTCTCTTCACGAAGGTGGGAGATGAGGGTTTTGGTTGGCCTGGTCCCTGTCTGGAGTGGCAACAGTCAATTGCCAGTGCCATGAACCAGCCACATCAGCCTCCTGACACACAAAGCAGTGGCCTAGCACAGTCATACACCCAGTGTCCAGTTTCATTTCCTTTAAAAAGGGAAGTTTCCTTGATAGCACCTGGATTTTCCCTCAGGCAATTTGAGTTTGCTTAAAGTACTGCTAATTGCAACAACCATAGTTTTGGCCTGCATTTGTTCTCAGTTCTCCTTACTCTCTTTCAGCTCCTGATTGCTGAACTCAGAAAACGCTGTGTCCAGTAACTGGATCAAAGGAGTTTGGAGGCCCATCTGAAACTTTTGTAATTTGTGTCAAATACCTAGGGCTGATTGACTAATAAAATGTTGTCCCATGAGTGTCTGCTTCTCCTTGGAAGATGGATCTAAGTTTGTATATTTAAAGAAAGCTTCTTCTAATTGAGTATGAAGGACAGTTGAAAGTTCCTTTGTCCTGTGCAACCTCTCTTTTCATAATTAATGGGTTTCCTAGTGCATCATTTTATTACCATAATGAGAGCAATCATCACTTTAAACATCAAGCTGGTTCAACCCCAGTACTTTAGTCCCAATTTGGTCTACAAGAGGGACAGTAACCTCTTTGGGGATGATTCCCTTCTCTTCTTGGAGTCTATTGTGAATCTGCATATATTCCAGCCTCCTCTAGGATTTTTTTCATCTGAGGTACTTAAAGGGGCTGAGACAAATTGGACTTCATCCCATGAGAGACCAAAAGTGAGGGTTAAAATTTGTAACACATTTGCAAAACCACCAGGATATTTTGAAAATTTGTCTAAACATGCTGTGCACTGTTGAAGACCTGCCACTGAAAAAGGCAACTGGACTCAAGAAGCCACTTGTCCCACTGGGACCTCTCAGGGTAGGATGACCTGAATTGAAAGAGAGGAAATTCTGCTTCAAGTATGTCCTGTGGGACTTACAGCTGTCTGAAGAACATGAGATGGGCACTAGAGAATACTGGGTCTTTCTGGAGAGCTGTCTATAGATGGAGTTTCTGAGTCACTTGGAAAGGGTGGGACTGATTTACTGGCCTCCTCCTTGTAGGAGGCTAAAGAGACCTCAGGGTGTGGTTTGTTTCGTTAAACAGTGGGGCAGTTCCATGTTGCCATGAGACACAAGTGCAAGTGTAGGGAGGGGACCATCAATGTCATTTTCTTCTTCAGGAATTTCTCTAAGGACCACATCTCTGTGGCCTTACAGAGGGGTAGTTTCTTTTAAAAAGCCATAAAATCTGCAGCACGAGAGATTTCAAAACACTTTCCTTGCCTCCTGTAGGAAAGAACTAACTGAGGGATAGTATTGTAATTATGTACCCATCTTTTGCCATTTCCTAGTTCATACTGGGGTCAAACAGAATTGCAATAAGAGATACACTTCTCTTTTCTCAGACTGTCAGGGTCAGACTGTTTCCAATTCTAAAGAAAACAGCCTAATGGTGAGGTCAGTGGGTCATTTCTCATGGTGCCTTGTGGGGCCTATGGAGAAAAGGGAAAAGATGGGGGCTGGGGATTTAGCTCAGCGGCATAAGCGCCTGCCTTGCAAGCAGGCAGTCGTGAGTTCGATCCCTGGTACCGATAAAAACGAAAAAGACAAAAAAAAAAAAAAAAAAAAAAAAAGAAAAGGGAAAAGATTATGTCCTTTCTAGGGCATCCACACAGAAGGACAAAGACACACTGAGCACTGGGGCAGCACTCTAGAAACTCAAATTTGTTGCCATATATCTGGCAAAGCAAGCAGCACTAAGGACTTAATTTTTCCCTTAGACTTAAACATAACTTGTGACCTATTGTGACTCCATAGAGAACAGGGTGGAGCTCTCTACTGGCTCTGTCTATCTACTTCAAAAACAGTATCCCTCCCATTTATCCCAGTAACAAAAGACTTTCGTAATTTGAGGCAGTAGATAGAAGCCTATTCTTTAGCATTTAAGAAAAGACCTTGAGAAATTCCAAGTACAAAAGCAGGACTTGTCATTATTCACTAAAACATTCCAGTTCTATTTCTGCAAACTCACAGTGGTTGGGTTGACCTTCACTGTCTGTTCTGTTTATTTTGCTCAGGCCTTCAGGTAAACATTCTGAAATGACCTGAATTTTTGTTAGAAGGGAGGAGATCTAGAAGGAAAGATTTAGAAGGGAAGAAAGGAGGAGGCCTATTTGTTCCCCAAAAGTGGAAAAAACAGCTTTTATCCACAAAGATTTCCTGGTGTCCAAGAGGACAACAGGGAAACATGGCAGAATACCCAACCAGGATGCCTCCCTGAGGCTGCGGGAACAGGAATCCTGAAGCAAGCAACTCACTAAAAGACAGACATAAAAGGCCATCTACAGGGAAAGCCCAAAGCCCAACTTTGATCATGCTGAATACAAAAATAGGCAGATTGGGGTAAGTGGATACTCAAAAAAGAGGCCAAGTTACAGCTAGCTATCCTTCCCCAAAGAATGAGGAAGCTTAGTAAAGTATTGGGAAGAACAGAAGTGTGGGAGTGAAAGAGATGTGTTAGTCCTCAAGCAACAGACCTCTTAGTTCTCTGACTTATGCCTACAATGAGTAACCAAAGACACCAAAAAAAGGGAAAAGAGAAGAGAAAAAAGGTATTAAAATATTTCCTGAAAAGGTGGTTCATTTCCTCACTGGGCTTACCAAGAAATGTTACCAGATAGTGGATTGTGGGAAAATTCCTTGTAGGTTCTTGGTGTCCTGAGCAAAGAATTAGACAAGATATACATAAAAGGTAGAAAGCATATACATTTATTAAAGATGAGAAGTATGCTCTACAAAGTGGGAGAAGATGGGTAAACAGACTCACAGAGGCCAGAAAAACAGCTTTGAAGATCTTATGGTTTTGTTGGATAGCCAGTCACATATACAACACAAAGTGGACTTGAGAATACGAATCACCTGTTATAATTAATTCATAATTTAAGTAGAACTCTTATCATTTTCTTTTAAATGCAGCTTTCATTTTGTTGCTCCGAGTCTTCTGCTAGCTCCTCACCAGGTAGTTCCCTTTTTTCAAAGCCAGGCTTAGCTTATGGGCTTATCAAAACTGTGACTAAGACAGTGGCTCATTGTGGGAGAGAGGCACAGACAGAAGAGTAAATAAAATAATGGGTGGGCCACATGCAGACCAAAATAAGTGTTGGACACTATTGGTTACTTTTCTGTCTTTTCTGGGACAAAATACTTGATGCCCAAAATGAAGGAAGGAAAGGTTTATTTAGCTTGTAGTTTGTGGAGGTCTCAGTCCATACTCAGCTGGCTCCAAGGCAGGATGGCATGGCTAAGGAGCAACCATTCATGGAAGACACAAGTGACAAGAGTGAAAAGGGCAAAAGGAAGGGGGAAAAGACATGTTTCCTCCCTTGTACTGTATGCCAGCTACGCACCCTGTGTAGGTGCAACACTCAAACCACCAATCCCAGCTCTAGACAATGAATCAATCAGAAACACTAGAGTCAGCTGTCCCCATGACTGTATGAGGCTCTGAGGGGACATCCAAACACAAGCCATAATATTCCACCTCTGGCCCCCCAGACTTACATACATCCTTTAGCCAAAAGACATTTATTCTATTTCCAAGATTTGTCAAAGTCCTGACAGTTTCAGCATGGCTGAAAAGTCCAAGTCCCAAGTCTCCCCTGAGATCTAAGGCAAACTCTGAGCTGTAACCCCCTGTACAAATGGAAAGTTAAACACTCCCAACTTCCAGTGGTACAGATAAATGTTACCATTCCCAAGGGTACAAATAGGAGGATACAAAGGAATGGGACCAAAGCAAGACAAAAATCCAACAAGGCAAAGATAAAGTCCTGTAATTACACATTCAGCATCGGAAGAAATCTGGTTATGAGCTCCAAAAGGCTTGAGTTACTACACCTCCATGTCACTTCTGGTGGTTATATGTCCCAGGGATTCTCTCTTGGGCTGCCTTTGCTCCCTCCTTACAGGATTCCTTAGACAATCCATGCTTCTAGCTTTTCCAAACTTCTGGGTTCTCCACTGCACCTTTTGCTTCACCCTCACAGCTTCACACACTGCCCTCTCAGAGGCACACTGCCTGCACTCCCAGGTCTTTTGAAATCAAGGTGGAAGCCTTTTTAACCTCAGAACTCTTAAATTCTGTATATACCAGACACCAGTGCCACATGGATGATGCCAAAGTCTGCTGCCAGTTAGAGAAATAGCCAAGCTTTCTCCTCTCTTGGCTGTAGGGGTTTAGTGCCTGGATCACTGGGCACTGAACCTGACTGTGAGGAACAGAATTTTTATGTTGACTCCATTCTGGAACCTGGTGTGGCCACTGCCACCATTCTGGAACATGGTGCTCTGTCACTTTCTCCTCAAAGTCTTTCACTTCTGCTGTTTTGAGGCTGCAAAGAGTAAAGACTTGCTGCTTCCTGTGATGCAGCACAAGTCTCCCCTGAGATCTAAGGCAAATATAGACATGATGATGCATACCTGTAATCCCAGTCTGAGGCAGGACTATCATAACTTCAAGGCCACATTGGGTTATATAGTGAATTCAGGACCAGCCTGAACTATATAGCAAGTCCATCTTTTCTATTATTTTGTTCCTTCTCAGCAATCCAGATATCAGCTCTATCTTTGCAGTTCACAACTCTACTGGAGTTTTCTTTTTGGCCAAATTCATGTTTTAAACCATCCTGCTGAGCTCTTTCCTTTTGATTTGAAACATAAATCTGGCTAAAATCTCCAACAACAGCCATGCCACTGCTTCAACATTCAACTGCCTTGAACTTTCTTTTGCCAGATTAATTAGTCTACCACTCTTAATCTCAGTCTCAGGCAAAGTCTCTACATAAAAAAATGCAGACAAACTTTTTGCCAAGCTATAACACACATCTATAACAAGCTATAACACATCATCTGGACTCCAACAACCAATGCAGTCCTTCTTCACAGCAGAAACCTCCCAAGCCTAGTCTTTATTGATGGGATTTCTATCAGCCTTCTTGGTCTTCTGTGCTCTGACCAGAATCTCCCATACAGAACAATCCTAAGGCATTCTATCACCACTCTTTCAGGTGACATTTCTGAATCCTTCCAAGTTTTTCCCACAAGCTATTTCCAAAGATTCTTGAGCCACATGGTCAGGTGCAGTCACAGCAATGACCCCACTCTACTGGTACCAAATTCTGTATTGGTTACTTTTCTCTCATTGCTGAGACAAAATACTTCATACCCAACATGAAGGAAGGAATGGCTTATTTAGCTTACAGTTTATGGAGATCTCAGTCCATACCAAGATGGCTCTAAGGCCGGGAGGCATGGCAAAGGGGCAACCATTCATAGCAGCCACAAGAGACAAGAGTAAAAAGGGCAAAAG